ATTCTGTGTTCTAAAGCCCCTGTCAGTTCTGACATCCTGTGTTCTAAGGGCCCTCCCAGCCCTGACATTCTGTCTTCTAAAGGCCCTCCCAGATCTGTTATTCTGTGTTCTAAGGCCCCTCCCAGTTCTGTCATTCTGTGTTCTAAGGTTCTTCCCAGCTCTGACGTTCTGTATTCTAAGCCTCCTTCTAGCTCTGATATTCTGTGTTCTAAGACCCCTCCTAGTTCTGTCATTCTGTGTTCTAAGGGCTCTCCCAGCTCTAACATCCTATGTTCTAAGGTCCGTCCCAGTTCTGACTTTCTTTGTCCCACTCTACTCCACCCCAGTCTTTGTTCTAAGGTCCTTCTCAGTCTCAGATCTGACATTCGAAGGTCCTTTTCAGTCCTTCCAGTCTATGTTCTAACATCCCTTCCAAATCTGATACACTAATTCTCAGGTTCCTTCCATCTCCCACTGGTCTATGTTCTAAGGTCCTTCTTGGCTGTAACATTCTCTGTTCTATTAGCTGGCTTCATACTTGTTGTTCTTCTTAGTTATGGTACAGACCAAGCACATAAGTTGATGCCCACTGTAGAAGGTGTTGTTAAGGGAAGCTTTAGACTGCCTGGGATATGACGACCAAGCCCTGAGGATGTCTATGGCTATCTAACCTAGACCTGTTCATGTCTTTTCTTTCCCCTCTATCATGTCCATCTGTGTAAAATCAGGTCATAAGAATCCAGGGTGGCCTTGAAAGGGAAAAGTGAGGGAGAACTCATAGCAGGGCAGTGAAGGGAGGAGGGACCTCATTGGTGATTGATGAATCTTGGGTCTTGCCACTCCCAGAGTAGGGGGATCATTCCTTACCCTTAACCAGCTCTGGCTCTCCTGGGCAGCCCTTAGAAACAGAACCACAGTCTGATGGCTTGGTTGGGCTGATGCCCAATGATGAATGATGGAGGAGAGAATTTTTTTAAAATTAAAATTCTATTTATTTATTTGAGAAGGGAAATTATTGATCAATTTCCTAGAAACCCCCAAGTCATTGACTAGTTTCCATCAGGGCACAGATGGTGACAGGATGACCTCTGAGGAAGAAGGAAAAAAGGGTCAGTTGTAATGGCACACTGCTTTTGGAGTCAGAGGGGCTGGGCTTGAATCCCAACCTGTGTGTGACCTGGGGTGAATCACTGAACCCCTCCCAGCTATTCCCTTATTTTTAAAATGAGAAGATTTGGCCTCTGAGATCTTTTCCAGCTCTAAACTCTATAATTGTGTGATTCTATTCATAGGGGCAATGAGGTTGGATGCTATAATCAACATGCCCTCCCAGAGGTATCGCAGAGTTTGGCTCCCTCTGCTTTTCTAGGAAAGCTTCCCAGGCCTGGGTAGGCTCTACCAGGTTGCTCAGGGCTGACATCTGGCTTGAGGGCTCTGGTTCTGTCTTTCCTGGTCCAACGGCAGAGTTGCCCACCTTGATGAGCTCCCCTTCCCCAAAACGAGTATTTGTCCACCTTGAGCCCTAATGCTTCCTAAAGTTTCCCCCAGATGGACAGGACCCAGGTTTGAGATGCTCTCAGCCAAGAAGTCAGTGTGTTGTAGAGGGCACCAGCTGCTGGGTCGTGTTTCTGCTATCTTGTCCACAGCCAGACTCGGTCCCTAAGTGCTTTTGGAGGGCCCTGGGACCTACAAAGTTAGAGCCTGGAGGCCAGAAGCATGAGGATGATGGGGACTGAGCTAATTGCTACAAGATCCAGCCAGATGGTCTGGTCTGGCTGGTGGTATTCAGTCTGACACACCTGGATGCTAAGCCTGTAAAGGGTTGTCACTTTCTCTCTTGGGGCAGACCCATTAGTTGCAGCCTAGGGGAGGAGAGCCTCAGTCTTCAAACCAAGAGGAACCTATATCATTAAGAAAATGGGGAGGGCTACTTCACCTAGAGAAGGGAAGACTCTGGGGGAACATGATAGCTGTCCTTATCTATCGAAAGAGCTCTAGTGGTGAAGAAGACGTATCTGTGTTACCTAAAGGAAGTCACTCACAGGAGGGTGACAGAATCCTAGATTTTAGAGCTGGAAAAGGAATCTTTGGGGCCATCTCAACTCTCTCATTGGATAGATAGGTACTGAGGTCCAGGGGCGTATAGCCACTTGCCAAGGAAGTAGCAAAACAGATTCATACCCAGGTCCACTGATTCCTAGTCTAGGACACTTTATACTGTACTATGGTTTTAACTCCATAGACAGAACTTTCTAATAATCTGAGTTGTCCAGAGGTGAATTGGGCTATTTTATAAGGTAGGGTGAGTGTCCTGATCCTGGAAGGTTTCCAACAAAGTCTGAGTGAAGACTTGCTAAGGATGTGAAAGAGGAGATTCCTGCTTTAGGCAGGAGCTGTACTTTATAGAGGACCCAAGGCCCTCTCTAGCTCTGAGGTGTTGGAATTGATTGATTCTGTGTTCTAAAGAAGAGTGTTTTTTGAGGCCCCAGATAGGAAGGAGGCTGACCAGATTCAATCTCCTTTGGGATTTGTTTCTGTTTCTTATCTGCCTTACTCATATTATTGATCAGTACTTCAAAGCCTTTTGGGTGGGCCCCTTCGTCCACAGGTAAAGATGAAGGATAATATCTGGAGGCTACCACATGAGTGGTTCCAGAGCAGAACAAGGGTTATTGAAGACTAGCATGTGAGCCATTGGAGATCACTATTCTAGACCAACATGTGAGCCATTCTAGGTCAGCACACAAACCACTGGAGATCACTATTCTAGCTCATCATGTGAGCCACTGGAGATCATCATTCGAGACAAGAGTGAATCATTTTAGACCAGAGCTATCAAACTCATGGCCTGCACGACTCCTGAATACAGCCCAGACCAGATCAGAATGTAACCAGGAAGTGTTTAACAAAAATAAATGAAAATATAGGACAATGTAGCTAATGTTAATTTGTGGTTTTCTAAGTCAATATTTGGGGGAACTAAATGGCACAGTAGCTGGAGGGCCATATCTGGAGTCAGGAAGATTCATCTTCCTGAGTTCAAATATGACCTCAGATATGAGCTATGTGACCCTGAGCAAGTCACTTTACTCTGTTTGCCTCAGTTTCCTCATTTATAAAATGAGCTGGAGAAGGAAATGGCAAACCACTCCAGTGTCTCTTCCAAGAAAACCCCAAATGAAATCACGAGGAGTTAGATACAACTGAACAATAAAGTCAATATGTGGCTTGGGGGGATCTGTTTCTATTTGAGTTTGACACCACAGTTCTAGATCAATGTGGGAGCTGTTCTAGGCCAGCATACAAACACTTCTAGACCACTGTGTGGATTGTTCTAGAGCAATGTACAGACTGTTTTCTTACCAATTTTCCCCTTCCAGCCAGAAAGATTAAGCAGGATTCTTAAATTCTTTATTAGACATATTTTTAAAGGCTTTTAAGTATTTTTTTTCTTTCCCTCACACCACCAAATGAAGTAATTGCATAATTAGTAATAAATTTGTTTCTCCTGTAAATGTGGCCTTTTTTTTGGCCCATGTTAAAAATTCATCACACTTTTTTCTCCCATCCCCCTCTTTCCAGTCGAATGCCTGACTGGTATTAATGCATTTCTGAACCTTAGCTCCCTCCTTCTCTTAACTAGACAGGTCATTAATAAAATGTTCTCTAAGAGCCAGAGCTTTTTAAAGTTGTATATCTACAGATAGATGGCTTTGTGAGTCGAACACTGCAGCATGAAGTCTCTGTGATAAAATATTTATCCACCATTAGAATCCCCCACCCCCTTCCTGTTTGTGAATGTCTCTCTCTGTCTTCCTTGGAGAGATGGGGGAGATCAGAGAGGGGCCCCAGGATGGGATCTGCAGACAAGTCATCCTCCTGGTCCAACTTCTCTGCATTCTCTTCTTACCTGCTCGTCCCGCCTCCCACTACTAGACTCGTCACTTGGGACCTTCCAAGACTGGGGGATCTTAATCTCCCTTGTGTCCTGGTCTCCTAGGGCAGTCTCGTGATGCCCAGGAACCCTTCATGGTTTTAAATAATCGAGGGAAATGCTGAATTTCAGTTAGAGGTCAGTGAAAGTAAAGCTGTTGCTTGTTTTTCCCCCCATCCAAGTTCACGGACCCCTTGAAATATCTCCATAGGTCCTGGGGCAGAGAGTGGGGTGGAGTGAGGGAGTTGACTTGAGGTCAATAATGCTTGTTCTAGGAGGTTTTATGAGGGCACAATATAACTAGAAAATCACCTCTGAGCAGCAGATGTCCCAGGACCAGGTGGGATAGGGAGGGATGTCTGAGATGTATGCTCATGTAAACACTGATGTTTGTTTATGTTTTTGGCTCAGAAATCATAGAGCTGAGAGGATCCTTAGAACACAGAATATCAGAGCTGGGAGGGCCCTTAGAACACAGGATGTCAGAGCTGGGAGGGCCCTTAGAACACAGGATGTCAGAGCTGGGAGGGCCCTTGGACCACAGGATGTCAGAGCTGGGAGGGCCCTTAGAACACAGGATGTCAGAGCTGGGAGGGCCCTTGGACCACAGGATGTCAGAGCTGGGAGGGGTCTTAGAACACAGGATGTCAGAGCTGGGAGGGCCCTTAGAACTCTGCCAAGGGGAATAGTAGAGCTAGGAGGGACCTTAGTTACCATCTAGGCTGACCACCTAATGTTACAGAGGAGGAAACTGAGGCTCAGAGAGGAGAAATCCCGTGCCCAAGGTCACATAGTGAGTTTGTGAGAGACCTGGGATTTAAACCCAGGTAGTCCAACTCCCCTTTTGGTCCTCTTCCCACTACACCAGGCTAATCCTAACACACTCTGATAGGCTCTATGGCTCCTACTAAGACCTAATGCTGAGCATCACCTGTTGGATGGGAATCTCCTGGTCACAGCCTCCTCACCTGCTGCTCTAAGAGCTTCCTGGCTCCTCAGCCTTCCATTGCAGACTTGACATAGCTCCATTTTCCTCGTCAGTCACTGCCTTGATTCTGATATTGCTCTATTCTCACATTTGTTTCAATAATACCCGTGACCCTCTGAATTAATAGCACATTTTCTTTCCAAAGGGACAAAGAACTTTATTATGTTATCATGTTATGGTCTGTTAGGGCATATAACATAATCACCAGCATTTCCATAGTGGACGCGCTTTGCATCCATCATCTTATTCCATCCTTATAGCAATCTAGTAAGGTAGGCAGGAGAGCTTGGATTATTTTCCCCATTTGACAGATGAGGAAAGTGAGGCTTAGAAGAGTGACTAACCCAAGGTCCCATGACTACTAAGGGGCAGAGCCAGGCTATGAAATCTCAGCCTGGGCCCTTTCTTCTGTGCTCTTCAAATTCAATAGACCCTTATTAATTATTTTCGTTGCCCTGGGGATATTACTTCCTATTGTATTGTATTACCCAATGGCCAGATCAGTAGTTGGGGTATAAGGCAGCAGATAGCAGCCGTGCCTTAGAGGTAAAAATAGACCCCTCCTTTTGCTCCCCTTCCTTCTATCCCTGCTGTGAGATTTCCACATTCGTATTCTACAATTAGAACCAAGGCATCTGGGTGGTGCAGTGGATGGAGCTCCTGCCCTGAAGTCAGGAGTTCCCGAGTTCATATCTGGTCTTAGGCACTTACTAGCTGTGGGACCTTGGGCAAGTCACTTAACCTGTTTGCTCAGTTTCCTCATCTGTAAAATGAACTGGAAAAGGCAATGGCAAACCCCTCCAGTATCTCTGCCAAGAAAACCTCAAATGGGGTCACAGAAAGTTGGACAGAACTGAAAGGACTCAACAACAAAATTCTACTAGTATGATTTGGGTGGATTGATTTAAATACCTTTGGTTTAGTTTTGTAGTGACAGGGGAGAGCAGGACAGGGGTGGTGGAGAAGGCTATTCAAGGGCTAAGTACTAGCTTTAGAGTCAAGGGTCCTTCCTTATGTAAGTATGTGAAGTAGGAATGTGGTAGATAGAGCACTGAGCCTGGACTCAGGAAGACCTGAGTTCAGATCCAGCCTCAGACACTTAACTAGCTGTGTGACCCTGGGCAAGCCACTTCATTTCTGTATGCCTCAGTTTCCTCATTTGTAAAATTGGGATAATAATATCCTCTACCTCCTGGTGTTGTTGTGAGGATCAAATAAGATTATAATTGTAAAGTGCTCAACACAGTGCCTGGCACAGACTAAGTGCTATGTAAATGTTAGCTGCTGTCATCATCATTATCCTCATCATCATCATCATCATCATCATCATCATCATCATCAGTAATAATAATGATACAATAATAGTAATGATAATAATAATAATCCTCTCCAAATGACTCCAAAGCCAGCGCCCTATCCGATACACCACACAGCCCTCTCCATGGTCCTGGTTATGTTTGTCCATCGTGTGTCCTTCCCAAGTCCCACATGCTATGATTGTACCCTCCTCCCCGCCCTCCCTCTCCCACTTTCCAGGTTCTTTTCCAGCCTGGAGGGGTCCCAGGGCCCACCTCTGGAGCATACAGCCCCGACTCACCACACCCTGCCTCTCCCCTTCTTTCCCACGACCACTGCTCTTCCTAAAAGGAAGAGACAGCACGGCCCAATCATGCAGCAAGACCTAATCCGGCCTGACATCAGAAACATGTTAATTCATGGCAGCGAATTATCCCATTTCATTGTCTGTGCCTGGAAACAACAGGGTGCGCTGTTTGAGCAAAGCAGAGGCATTCATGCATCCAGAATGTAAAACGGAGCCTGGAAATCGTGCCTCGCAAGGGTTTGTTGGTACACCCTCAGCTCTTGTGATTCTCCTTGCCTTGCTCCAGCCCCCGTCTCTGCCATTCTTTTCTGCTCCTTCTGGACCCGGGCAGCCCCCAGGGTCTCCCGCCTGGTCCCTGTGCACCTGGGCCAGCCCGGTCTACCCTGATCCCTGATTCAGAGCTAGAAGGAACGTCTGAGGGCATCTGGCCCAACCCATGCCGTAGTGACCAGCACCTGTCCAACATCCCTGACAAATGGGCTTCAATCAGTCCCTCAGCAAATAGCTATTGAATGTTCACTGTGTTCCATGCATTGTACCGGGCGATGGGAACACAGGCCTCCAGGGAAGGGAGGGGCAGGGGGAACTCTAACCCCTTCCAGCTGCTGGTTCCTTGTCTACGGATGGCAGTGAAGGCTTAGCCACTTCTTGTTTCCTTGGTTGGGTGATGCAGAACAAGTCACTTAATCTCTCTCAGCCTCTGTAAGATTTTGTTGTTCAGTCGTTTTTCAGTCGTGTCCAACTCTCTGTGACCGCATTTGGGGTTTTCTTGGCAAAGATACTGGAGTAGTTTGCATTTCCTCCTCCAGCTCATTTGACAGATGAGGAAACTGAGGCAAACAGGGTGAAGAGACTTGCTCAGGGTCACACAGCTAGTGAGTGCCTGAGGTAGGATTTGAACTCAGGAAGATGAGTCTTCCTGACTCCAGGCCTGGCACCGTGCCACCTAGGTGCCCTATGTATAAAATACGGATGATAGTAAGAAGCACCCACTTCATAGGGTTATTGTGAAGATCAAAGGAGATAAGGCATGCGCAGTGCTCGGTAAACCTTAAAGTGCTGTGTAAATGCTGTTACTTTTATTGTTGGACAGCCTTGAGGGAGGCCTGTCTGCTCTCTTTGGGGGTTCTGTTCCTCTCCAGGCCCCCACCCAGGGAGATGATTGAGCCAGCTCTAACCAGGGAGCCAATTGTTAAATGTTCAGGGTGAGCATTTTATGCCCTGGAAATTGGCAAATGCTACAAATCAAGGCTTGGTTTAATGATCCAAATGATAAATTATTTATTATTGATTGTCTAGACTTAAAATGATAGAGAAATTGCTAATGATGCAATTAAAATAAACTTAAAGGTGGGAAAAAGTTGTTTTTTTCTCATTTACCAGCATACACCTACATGTATTGTCCTGTATACTATGTTGCCTAGTACTTACTCTCCTCTCTAACCCAGAGGTCAAAAGAAAAAGTAGCGTTCTCTAGCAGAAAGGCCCAGCTTGTGAATCAGGGCCTGCATCCAAGGCCCGATTCCCAATACTCACTAGCCTTGTGACCTTGGCCAAGTCATACCCTTGTCTTAAGCCTCTGTAAAATGGGGATAATGATAAGTCATAGCATTTAGAGCTGGAAGGGACCTTAGAGATCAGTCTTGTCCAGAGTTTCTAAACCTGGAGTCCATGAACTTTTTTTAAAAAATATTTTGATATTGATATTGAGCTGACTGGTTCCCTTGGTAATCCTTGACATAAAAAGGGTAAATACCCAGTAAAGGGTATTTTATGCATTTAAAACACAAGGAGGTCCAAGACACAAAAAAGGTTAAAGAGCCCTGATCTAGTTCAACCCTATCATTTTACAGGTAAGGAAACTGAGGCCCAGAGAGTTGAAAGCCCTTGTCCAGGGTCACGTAGAGTATATTCAACAGAGCTGGGATGAAGCCCATGTCCTCTGATGCCAAATCCAGCAATCTATTGTCCCGTGCTTCCTCAAGGAAGCCCATATCTCCCATATCTGAGCCTCAGTTTCCTCATCTGTAAAGTGGGGCCAATTAAATTAAAAGGAAATTAAATGAAAACCTCCACTACCTCCCTCCCAGGGGTAATGTGAGGATTCTGTGATATAATGGATATAAATGGCTATAGCAATAACAATAGTAGTTAATATCTTGTAGTACTTTATTTATTTTTTAAAAATTAATTGCTTTTAGTTTTCAACCTGCACTTTTATAAGATTGGGAGTTCTAAATTTCCCCCCCCTCCTTATAGTATTTTTTAAAATTTGCAAAGGATTTTGGGGATGTTGTCTCACTTCACCAGTAACGGCCCGTAAGAGCTAGCATGTGCGTGGTGATTTAAGAATTACAAAGTGCTTTACACAGGTTGCCTCATCTGGGTTTCACAACAACCTGGGAAGGAGGCAGGGTTATTATCGTCCCCTCATCCCTACATCAGTACATCGAGGGCCTCCGATTTTGTCAACGTGGGGGTGCCCTCTGCTCAGGAACATCTCAGTCCTTCCCTAAGTGATGCTCAGAGAGGAGGTCTGCCTGTGGTCACAGAGCTGACAGGGACACATGGGATTTGAACCCGGGTCTTCTTGACTGCAAGCTGAAGGCTTAGCTCGTGAGGTCTTGATCACTCTCTTATAACCACAAAGCCCTAACCGTTCTTGCCCCGCTCATCTGTCCTTCCAGGCCAGAAGCACGTCTGTGTGACCAGCCTGCTCATCTGCCAGGGCCAGCTCTGGGTGGGCACTGACCAGGGCATCATCGTGTTGCTGCCTGTTCCCCGACTGGAGGGTATCCCCAAGATCACAGGTGAGACCTGGGACTGAGAGAGCCTCTTCCACTCCTGCCCCAACTGCCTCCACCAAAGGGGGCTGTCCAAGAAGGGGGGAGGGGCTTAGCCTGATCTCCTGTTGTATGTGGGACATAGATCCGAGGTCAATGGAGCAGGAAAAAATAATCACTGTCATTTCCAATGTAGTCTGCAATGGCTTTTTGTCTCAACAAACCTGTTTGGCATTTAAAGCCCTTTACGGCCTGGCTCTAGCCTACCTTTCCAGCCTTACTCTATATTATTCTCCAAACTGGCCTCCCAGCTGTTCTTCACAGAAAACATTCCAACTCTCATCTCCAGGCCTTTGCACAGGCTGTCCCCAATGCCTAGAACGCCCTTCCTCCTCACCTCTGACTCTTAGGATCCTTCGATTCCTTCAAAGCTCAGATCAAGTTCCATCTCCTTCCTGAGGCCTTTCCTGGTCCCTCTCTCCCTTGGCTCCCAAACCCCTGCCAGCTGCTAGTACCTCCCAGCCAAACTGGGATCTCTCTCTCTCTGTCTGTCTCTCCCTCCCTCCCTCCCTCTCTCCCTCTCTCTCTCTCTTTGTTATATCCCCCTATAAAACAAAAGCTCATTCAGGGCATGGCCTGTTTGATCTCTGTCTTTCTATCTGTGGTGCCTAGCACAGTGCATGGCACATAGGTGCTTAATAAGTATTTCTTGATTGTTTGTTATCATCCCCATTTTATAAAAGGGAAAACTGAGGCTCAGAGAGATCATAGTATCTGGGGCAGGGGTGGGGAACCTGCGACCCCTCTAGGTCCTCAAGTGCAGCCCTTTGACTGAATCCAAAATTCTTTGTTCTGTGAATTTTGGATTCAGTCAAAGGGCTGCACTTGAGGACCTAGAGGATTTGTTCTTTTAAGTTTGATTCAGTCAAAGGGCTGCACTTGAGGACCTAGAGGGCCACATGCGGCCTCGAGGCCCACAGGTTCCCCACCCCTATATTCTAGGGCTTGACAGGATCAAGGTTATAGATTTAGAGCTGGAAGGAATATCAGAGGCCGGCTAGTTCCACCCCACTATATTTTACAGCTGAGGAAACTGAGACCCGGTGCAGTTAAGTGACTTTTCGAAGTCACATAGGTCACGAGCATCAGAAGTGGGATTTGAATTCAGATCTTCTGACTCTGCATCCAGTGTTCTTTCTGCTTTACTTTGCAGCCTTACAGAATCTTTGCTACTACCCTTCATTTTAGATGCCATGCAGAGAGTGAAAGGTCCAACAGCTAGCAGGTGCCCAAGTAGAATGTGACTCTGGGTCCCCTGCGTCCGGGCCTCCAGACCAGGTGGTCTTTGGGGTGCTCGAAGTCTGCTGTGTGCCCTTTCCTCAGCACTGACCACGCCATGTCCTTGACTGTCTCCTGTGCAGGCTGCTGACGTTGGCACCTTCGCTGAGGCAGGCCCTAAGCAGAGGCAGGCAGGGACTAGGTAGACCCCTGGCAGTGCTGTCTCTTGGACCCTCCCCTTACACTCCATGAGAATCTAGGTCCTCAGGGGCAGCTAGGTGGTGCAGTGGATAGAGCACCAGCCCTGAAGTTAGGAGGACTGAGTTCAAATTTGGCCTCAGACACTTGACACTTACTAGCTGTGTGACCCTGGGCAAGTCACTTAACCCCAATTGCCTAAAAAAACAGGAAAAAAAAAAGAGAATCTATGTCCCCGATTCTATTTATCAAAGAAACCTCAACAACCCTAGTGTCAGCGATGGAATTCTCCATTGTAGGGTAGGGGAAAGAGTGTTGGTACTGGAGGTCTGTCTCTAATCCCAGCTTGCTTCCTTTCCACCTGGGGATAACTTGGTCCTTTGAGCCTCAGTTTCCTTTTCTGTAAAGTAAGGGGATGGTGGAACTAATTGGTATCTAAGGCCAGCCTTGAATATCATGATTAAAAAAATTAAATTGTCTTTCTTTTTAATTATCTATGACTCATAGTTACACAAACCCCTCTGGGATTTCATGTCCTCATCGGTAAAAAAAAAGGAACTGTGTGCAGAGTAGATGGAGTTGGCCTTAAAGCCAGGAGGTCTGGATTCAAATCCTGTCTTTCCCACATACTGGCTGTGTGACCTTGGGCAAGTCGACTGACTTTTCAAGGTCTTGGGCAGCTCTCAAAGACTATGAAATTGCAGAGTAGATGCTGAGTGGCATTGCTGAGGGAGATTCCTTACCTAGGAGATCTCTTTACCAATAAAATTACAGGCCCAGTACAAACAAAAATTGGAGATAATGTTTTGGTACTACCAGCTTTGCAGGGCTGTGGGGAAGGCTTTAGAAACCCTAAAGAAATATGAGTTATTGGTTTTGTGAGGCATAAAATGAGGGATTACATGATGGATTACATCATCTCCAAGGTCCCTCCCAGTTCTGATATTCCCTGTTCTAAGGGCCCTCTCAACTCTGACATCCTCTGTTCTAAGGGCCCTCCCATCTCTGAAACCCTGTGTCCTAAGGGCCCTCCCAGCTTTGACATCCTCTGTTCTAAGGGCCCAGGATGGCTCTGACATTCCACACTCTCAGGCGGCTTCTAGCTGTCACATTCTGTGCTTTGATGTCCCAACTGTAAATCCTTGCACCAGCATTTGTCTGTAATAGTCACCCCTTGCCCACTTTCCTCTATCCCTACAGGAAAAGGCATGGTCTCCCTCAATGGTCATTGTGGGCCAGTGGACTTCCTAGCTGTGGCCACCAGCACCCTGGCTCCAGACATCCTGAGGAGTGACCAGGATGAGGCAGAGGAGGAGAAAGGTGAGGGTCCATCCCACGAGCCTCCGCCTGCACCTGATAGCCACCTGGCCCACGAGCTGGTCCATAAAAAGGGCATCCTCCTTCAGTACCGCCTGCGCTCCACAGCACACCTGCCAGGACCCCTCCTCTCAATGCACGACCCCCCAGACCCCGATGGGACAGCCCTGGCCCACAGCGAGGAAGATGGCTCTATCTACGAAATGGCTGATGACCCCGATGTCTGGGTCCGCAGCCGGCCCTGTGCCCGGGATGCTCACCGTAAGGAGATCTCCTCGGTCGCCATCATCTCCGGAGGACAGGGCTACCGCAATTTTGGTGGTGGTGGAAGGCCAGCCTTGGGCAGCGAGACAGACAGCACCCTGCTCATCTGGCAGGTTCCCTTGATGATCTAGCCCACCCTCCCTCCACCAACTTCACTCACTCCTGCTTGTCTCCCACAGTGCCTTGCACTGCTCTGGGATTGGCACCATGCCACCCTGGCCTGCCTGGGCATTGATTTCCCATGGTGCCCCTTCCTCTAATTTTCTGTCAGTCTAGGGTCAAACTGGGACGGAAAGGAAGTGACTTCTTCACGTGCCAGCCGCTTTGTAGGGTGAAATAGGGCTTGAGGAGCTCTCTTGACAGAAGGGGGAGAAAACTGTTTTTAAAACAAAGCAAAAAAACTTTCAAAGGGTGTTTTTTTTTTTTAGTTTGGGGTTCTAGGTATGGGAGGGAATCTTTGGAGAAAATGGTCTTTTAAAATAAATATATATACGTTTTATATATATATGTGTATATATATATGCGTGTATATATATACATATCTGAACATCATAACTGCCAATCAAAGTACTGTCCTCACGGGCTCAAGGGCAGGATTAGATTTTACAAAGCTCACCTCTCTAAAGATGTGTGCTTGTGCAAGAAGATGTGTGCGTGTACATGTACGTGTGCGTGTGTGTGTCTATGCGTGTGTGTATGTGTGTGTGAGAGAGAGATTGATGCGTGCCTCTGTATAAATAAATAAGTATATATAGTGTATATTATTTATGTATAAATAAAGTCTGTATATATTGGTGCATTGGGAGAGACAATAATAAAGGCATGGTTGATGTCTGTATTTGGGTTGCGCTTCCTTAGTGTGGGCTGGGGTCCCTTCTAGCCCCGCCTGGGTGCACAGATGTTTGTGCAGAGGAATCCAGGTTCTGCAACAAAAAGGATGAGGGATAGAACTCCCCTTCCCCAAGAGGAACGTCCTCACTGTTGCTCTTGGGTACGAGACGTGACTAAAGGAGCTTGTGGAGTGGGCTGGGAGGGGCTTGTCTGGGCCCAGAGCTGGCCAAGGAGAAGAGCTGGGTGCTCTAGGGCACAGTAGCTAGACCTTTGACATTGCCTCTCAAGCTCTGTAGCCTTGTGGACAAGATCTAAGGGAATAAGATACAATTTTGTTGTTCTTGTTTAGTCGTTTTGCAGTCATGTCTGATTCTTCGTGACCCCATTTGGGGTTTTCTTGGCAAAGATACTGGAGTGGTTTGCCATTTCCTTCTCCAGCTCATTTTATAGATGAGGAAACTGAGGCAAAGTTAACAAGGTTAAGTGACTTGCCCACAGTCACACAGCTGGTAAGTGTCTGAGTTCAGATTTGAACTCATGAAGATGAGTCTTCCTTACTCTTGACCAGGCACTCTGCACTGTGGCATTCACCTAGCTGCTCCATGGGCTATAATAGTGATTCTCAAAGTGCAGTTCATGGACCGTTCAGGGTCTCTGAGACTTATTCAGGGGAGCCTCAAGGTCAAAACTATTTTCATAATAGTACTAAGATTATACAACCCACATAAAGAAATGCTCTTTGTGGGGGGAGTGTCCTCAGCAATTTTTGTAAGTATAAAAGTGCCCTAAGACCAAAAAGTTTGAGAACTGCTGTGCTATAAGATAGTATAATTAAGAGATCTGGCAGTGTTTGAATGTTTGCTGAGGTGGATAGAACTCTGAGTCTGAAGTCAGGAAGACCCGAGTTCAAATCTAGCATCAGACACTTACTAGCTGTGCGACCCTAGTTAAGTCACCTAACCTCTCTGCTCCTCAGGTTCCTCAGCTGTAAAGTGGGGATCATGAAAACACTTACCTCCCAGGGTTGTTGTAAGGGTCAAAAGAGATCATATTTCTAAAGCACTGGTCACAGAGTGCCTGGCACATAGTAGGTACTTAAGAAATACTTGTTCTCTGCCCCTTCCCCCCAAAATAGTTGTTATTGGATAGAAGTCAGCTTGAAGATCAGTCTCTAGTGGGGTGCCCCAGGGGTCTGTCTCTTTGGAACTACACCATTCAACATTTTAATCAATGACTTGGATAAAGATATAGATAATGTGTTCCCAAGTTTATCACAGAAGGCAAAGTAGTACAGTAGAGAGAAAACTGGGCTCCAAGCCACGAAGATCTGTTCAAATTCAACTCATATGCTGGTTAGGGGACCCTGGGCAAATTCCATAACCTCTCTGTGCACTAGGCAGCTCTCCAAATGCTGTAAGTTCCAGAGAATGGCCCAATCTCCATTGCTAGAGAGAGTCCCCTATGCCAATTAGTCAAAAAGCATTTATTTAGTGCCTACTGTATGCCAGGCACTGTGCTAAGCCATGGGGAGGCAAAAAGAGGCAGACAAGTCCCTGCCCTCAAGGAGCTCCTGGTCTAACAGGGTAGGCAACATTCAAACAAATCTATACAAACAAGCTATATACAAGATAAACAGGAAACAATTAACAGAGGAAGGCACTGGAATCCAGAGGGGTTGGGGAAGGCTTCGTATCAAAGATGGGGTTTGAATTGGGACTTAAACCCCAAGTCTAGTTGCCATCTCTCATGTCAAAGTCCACCCTTTACTTCCAAAAATCACCTTCATGATTCTGAGGTGGGCCAGACAATAGTTGCCATGACAAAGATCTGGGGGTTTCAATGGACTGCAAGCTCAAGCTGAGTGAACAGTGTGACATGATGCTAATGCCATGCTAGACTTTGGTAAGTGGAACCATGGTAACCAGAAAGAAAGGCTTAGTAGCTTGGGAGGGGCAGGAAGACCTGAATTCAGGTCCCACAGGGCAAGTCACTTCTTTAAGTACCTTCAGATAACTTTCTAAGACTTAGGTTGCAAATGAGTTGCTAATCTGCACCATTGGAAAGAGTTTCCATACCAGGAGGCCCCTCCCTACTCCAATGAAATCACATCTAGCCAACCACACACACAAAACCAGCCCCAGTGACCCTAAGGAGGGAGGTAACACTAGTGATGTTAAGCCACACCTGGCATGTTGTTCTGGGGATTTGGGGGAGTGTCCACATTTTAGGAAAAAGATGGTGAGGGGACTGGATTTTCGACCAGGGGAGAAAAGGCCACCAGGTCTGAGGTCCATCAATCCATGAGCCTTGATTGAGCACTTGCTGTATGATAACTCCTCTGTTATCTCCAACTATATTGGAGATGCAAAGACCAAAATGAAACAGCCCCTCAAAGAGCTTCCTTTCAATGACAGCTGTTTTCAGAGTATTTGAAGGGCTGTCATGGGGAGGGAATAAATTTGTCTCATTCTGCTTGACCCCAGAAGACAGAAAGGAATATTGGGTGGAAATTGTGCAGAGAATAATTTTGGCTTCATGCCAGAAGGGAAAAAAGTGTCCCCAAATCAGAACTTCCCAACAGTGAAAAAAGCTGCTTTAAGAGGTAGTGAGCTCATCATCAACAGAGGTCTTTAAGAATAGGTCAGGTGGGGGCAGCTAGGTGGCACAGTGGATAAAGTACCAGCCCTGGAGTCAGGAGTTCAAATCCAGCCTCAGACACTTACTAGCTGTGTGACCCTGGGCAAGTCACTTCACCCTGGGCAAGTCACTTCACCCTGATTGCCTCAAAAGAAAAGAAAAGAAAAGAAAAAAGAAAGGGAAGAGGTTAGGTGACCACTAGTCAGCATGATGTCAGGGGATATTTTTGTTCTGCAATCAATCACTGAGGCAACAAACATGGAATGAATCAGAAACCAGATGTTATCTGAGCTTCCTTCCGCCTCTCGAGATCCCGAGGTCCCACTTCCCTTCTCTGGGTCTCAGTTTTCTCATCTGGGAAATGAGGGGGTTGGACCTTGTGATATTGCAGGTCGTTCAAGCCTTCCTGTTCCGTGATCCTGGGTGTTCCCTTCCTCTTGGCTGGAACATTTGGGGATTAGGGTCTGCAGCTGCAGATGCACCGAGAAGCCAGGGCTATGATTTGGGTGGGAGTGGGGAGCAGAAGCAAGCCTTAATTTACTGATGGGTATGGAAGCCAGCTAGAGGGTGAAGGGGGGGGGGTGGGCAGGGTTGCTATAGGCAACAGAGCTGGGGCTTTCAGGGGGCCTGACCCGATGTGATTGCCTTGGTCTGGAGAGAGATTTGGACTTTTGCCAGGCTCAATATCAGCAGTGAGAACAACCTATGAACTTTGGGGTTGGGGCTTGCAGGTTGGGGGAGAGCATCCACTTCCCTCACCCATTACCATCCCTTTCCTGCCATCTGCAAGGATAGAACGATTTCCATCGATAGCCTAATGAAGAATGCCCTGGTGGGTTGAATAGCGGGCAGAGTCAGAAGCCCTGCGTCCTAGTCCTAGCTTCTCCCTGAATAGCTCTGGGGTGTCATTTTTATAGTCCAAGCTCCCTAAGCCTTGATTTTCCCTATCTGTAGCAGAAAGAGCATGAAACTTCAAGAATAAGATCTAGGTTTGAATCCTAGCTCCCTCATTCGCTAGTAATGTGACAGATACATCAACTGTTGGAGCCTCAGTTTCTCCATCTGTGAGACTGGGTTAATAAAATTGTGTTCCTTACTTCACAGGATGACATCTCTTATATATGCCCCCTTCTGTCTTCTGATACTGCCACCACCCTGGTGTAGGCCCTTATCACCTCACGCCTGAGGCTGCCTGCCTCTGGTCTCCCCCCTCCAAGCCGTCAGTCAGCTATCTAAGTGATCTTCTTAAAGTATAGGACTGATCATGTCATCTCTCTATTCAATAAATCCCAGTGCTTACCTATTACCTCCTGGTCTCATATATAACCCTATAGCTTTCAAAGCCCTCCATAACCTGGCCGTCTCCTACCTTTCCAGTCTTCCTATGCTTGACCCCCCTCCACATACCCTAATCCAGTGACACTGGCCTCCTGCCTGTTGCTCACACAAGATACTCCATCTCCTGACTTTAGGCATTTTCCCTAGCTGTCCCTCCATGCCTGGGATGCCCTCCCTCTTTATCTCTGCCTCCTGGCTTCCCTCAAGTCTCAGATAAAATCCCACCTTCTGCAAGAGGCCTTTCCTGATTCCTCTTAATGCTAGTGCCTTCCCTTTCCAATTTATTCTGCCTTTAACTTGTTTATACATAGATGCTTGCATGTTTTTCCTATTAGACGATAAGCTCCTTGAGGGCAGGGGCTGTCTTTTGTTTGTCTTTTTATCCTCAACACTTAGCACAGTGCCTGACACATAGTAGGTACTCAATAAATGCTTGTTGACTTGACAGGATAGTTGTGAGGATTGTGTTTTTTAGATAGTGCTTTTTAGACATGCTTTTTAGACTGCAAAGCATTATGGATGTGTGAGATATGATTACTGGAGGCAGCATGGTAGGGTGCATTCATATAGCCTGTTGGTGCTAGGCTTGAGGTTAGGGAGATGGTGTGATGGGAAGAACCCTGGGATCTAGATTCGAATCCCAGCTCTGCCACTGACTACCCAGGTGACTTTGGGCAAATCACTTCTCTCTGAATCCCAGTTTCCTCATCTGTAAAATAGTGAGAGAAAGACGCAGAGGAGATGGCTTCTGAGTCCCCTTTTAGCTTAGAACCTACGATGGGTTTCTGTTGTTCATTTTCAGTTGTGTCTGATTCTTCATGACCCCATTTATTTGTTCTTGGCAGAGATATTGAAGTAGTTTGCCATTTCCCTCTCCAGCTCATTTTACAGCTGAAGAGACAGAGGCAAACAGGGTTAAGTGACTTGCCCAGGGTCACACAGCTAGTAAGTATTAGAGGTTGGATTTGAACTCAGGTCTTCCTTATACCAAGCCTACAGTTGTATTCACTGCGCCACCTAGTGACTAAAAGT